GTTACCTAGTTGGGTCATGAAATGTCTGTATAGGAAATAACCAAGCTCAGACAGCACCAAAGCCCGGTCACTTCAACCCTGAGCTATAAATATTCTTCTTACTTATTGGAGTCAAGGTTGAAGTGGACTTGAGAACTGATAGCATGATGAACCTTGAATTGTCCATTTAGTAAATCGTAGTTAACAAACCAAGACTAGCAGTAGATAAATTGTTTCCCGGCACTTGTCACTTTCCTGTACGTTGCTTTTCTTCCTGAACTCTCGGTTCTTCTTTTGAAGATCAGGGCTGGGGCTTTGCCATCCCCAGGGTGGCTAGGGACAGGAATTGGGAAGGTTATATCCCAAAGGTGGAAACTTTCTTGAGTCCTGCGCCCATCTTCCACTTCCTGCCTGTGTCCCTTTTCAGTTTAATTTGAAAAATAAACATGACAAACGCTTGCAGGACCTGGTCTACCCTACTGAAGAGAAGTACTATGGGTGACATAACAGCAGGTTTCTAATATTTGAGGGGTTGTGCAAAAAAGAGGGGATCAATCTATTCCCCAAGGCATCTGAGGTCAGAACAAGAAGTAACAGGTGGAAGATTATTAAAGATAGATCCAACCTAGAACTATGAAGAAATTTCCTGACAGTGAGAACAATCCATCAGTGGAGTGGCTTGCTTTCGGAGATTGTGCATGCTCCAGCTCTGGAGGTAATGAGTGGTAATGTTACCATTAAAATTTAGTTAAGTTAATTATTAATTAAATTCATACTGCAGTTAACTCCTTGCCTTTTTTCTTTTCTTTTTTTCTCCTTCCAATGATCTAAATGTGTCAGAAAGTTCGAGCCAATCTCGATTTTTGGCGATTGCCTGGACAAGTCCCCGCAATTTTGGGGGGAAATCTTTCTTGTAAATAGTTTGCCATTGCCTCTTTCCTAGGGCTTTGAGGATGTGACTGGCCCAAGGTCAACTAGCTGGCTTCCAGTCTTGGGGGAGGGGATAGGAATTCATCATCTGCCAGTTTCTAGCACTGCACCAAACTGTCAGCCTCAGTGGTATACAACCAGCATCTTATTTCTGGGGAGCATCCAAGCCCCTTGCATGCCCTTGGATCCAAGGGTTTCCATTCCCTGGATCTCCCCTTACACTTCCATAAACTTCTGTTCCTTTCTAGAGTAAGTCAGTTCTCAAGGATTGCCACCCTGAGGTCAGTGACATGTCCAGTAGAAATATCAGCTACTTATATTTCTCCTCACCTACCAGTTCCTAATAAGCCAACTGTGAAAGAACCTAAAAATGAAGAAAAAACTAGCTGCATTTGTGCAGCATTCACACAACAATTAAGCTTAGAGGTATCCATGATTTGTATGTGTGGTCAAACAATAATGCCATCCTAGCCCATTGGCTGAATTTATGGTTCAATGTACAATTAAGATTTGAAAAAATAGGAGCAATGGGTGAAATATGTCATGTGAAACCATCCAGTCTCTGTATTGAAAAATGATACTCTCATTCAAAAAAGATTTTACCTCCATCAAGCCAAGTCTGTGCTCACTATGAGTTGTGATAAGTACAAGAAACGGGAAGCATCATTTATTTATGGATATTTTCAAACCCAAAAGCCACTGGAGGAATTTCCCTCATCCAGGACAGGAATGAGCCAAGTTGCTTGCAAAAAAAAGTAGCAAGACCATTTTGAAGCTTCTCTAGATGAATTATTGCTTTTGGCTGTGGATCAGAAACCAGCAGGTCAGTTTGGTTATATATGACAGTTGAGCAAGGTGCATAGGAATTTCTGTGCTTAGGTAGCTACTGGGATCACTTTTTAATTATTCTTCCTGTTGGAAGAATTATTCTTCTGCATTCGGTTCCAAGTGGGGGAAAAGACACTGGAAACAACAGAGGCTGTTTGGAAAGATGGGTTTAAGGGTGGACAGGACCACCTCGCTTGGAGCTCCAAAGTGAAAAGTCTGATCACGTGCTTCTAGATGTTGGGTGAAGGAAAAGGAAAAAAAGATGCTCAGAGTCCCATTGGGATTTGAATTTGAGCTAGTATTCTGAGTGGTTGTCAGACTCCCATGGGGCCATGCAGTGGCAACTCTATAGGCTGTCCTGAGTCCCAGGCTTGGTTGAGCCTTGCTGGATGGTGATGATGATTGCCCAAAGGGCTTTGGGAAATTCCTATTATAGCTCTACCTGGAGTAGATTTTTCTTATGTAAAATAGACTGGCCCAGGCCAGAGTAATGGCCCATTAGCAAAGGTGGGAGGCTGAGTTCTGCCTCTGAGTTTCTAATTTTCTTTTTAGGGGAAATATTCTGTCTTTTTAGCACATCCTCAAATATTTCGCTTTCCTAGGAGAGGGGTGGATGCCAACTTCCAAGAAAAAAAGTGACAAAAAGATGGGAGACATTGCAAGGAACATCTTGCCAGGAAGAAAAAAAAAAGATCAAAGGGATATTTTGGAAAACGAGGACTATGACAGGCATCTCTTTTGCCTGGCTGCCCTCTACTTCCAAGGGAGAGACCCCACGGTGAAGCGAAAAGCTGCAGCCCTTAACCGAACCAGCTCCATGCCTCCCGTCCGCGCCAGACCCAGCCATCCCTCGACACTGCGCAGGCGCCATCTGGCTGACTGAGGAAGGGCGACGCCGATTGGTCGTTCGGGGGACGGCGGCGATTGGCAGGGAGACTGCTTGGGGCGGTCCCTAAAGCGGAACAGGAGGAGCGTGTAGGAAAGGGCGCGCAACGAGGTCCTGCCTTCACTTCCGGAATCACACGCCTGAGACGATTAATGGATTCTGTTGCCGACGGGCTCGGAGACGCCTCTCCCGCAGAAGGGAGCCCGAGGCCTGGCCTGGCGCTGTGAAGTGGAGGCTGCATCCGCCTCGGGCCTCCCCGGGAGGACCGCGAGAGGCGGAGATTTTGGCCTAAGACTCCCCTGCCGGGAAGGGGACACAGCCGTGAAGCGCCTCTCTTTCTCCCCCTCAGGAGGACGGAGGAGCCCGGCGGGGGAAGGAAACTCCGCCCGAGTGGAGGAGGTTGAGGAGGAGACCGGGCCCCGCGGAGCAGCCATGGCCGGTCCCGAAGCGGCTCCCACGGTAGACGGCGGGGAAAGGCCGGGAGGCTCCGGGGCTGCAGGAGGGATGAATCCAGGTGGACCCCGGAAAAGGGGGCGGCCCACAGGACGATGCCGGGAGAAGGAAACGGGCGGAGACCCCGAGACATGCCTGGAGGCCGGAGGGTCCCTCGGAAGCTCCAGGAAGCCCCGAAGGATCCAGGAGGGAGAATCAGAATATCAGTGCCCGGAATGTGAAAAATCCTTCCAAAGAAATGAGTATCTTGAAATCCATCTCAGGACCCACTCGGGAGAGAAACCTTATACATGCCTGGAATGTGGAAAGAGCTTCAGTCAGAGGGGAAACCTCTCTAGACATCGAAGGATCCACTCGGGAGAGAAACCATACAAATGCATGGAATGCGGAAAGAGCTTCAATATGAGGGAAAGCCTTCATAGGCATCAAAGGATCCACACTGGAGAGAAACCATACA